ACAACTAGATTGAAGAACAAAACGACAGCAACTTGTCTGTTCCCCTTCCCCCAATTCCCCATCACTGTTCCCATCCCCCCAATTATCCAATAAAAATCTTTAAAAAAAAACAAAAAACAAACAAACAAACAAACAAACAAACAAACAAAAGTCACCCCCAGGCCGGCCAAGTGGCTCAGTTGGTTAAGAGTGTGAGCTCTGAGCAACAGAGTCGCTAGTTTGAGTCCCATATGGGCCAGTGAGCTGTGCCTGAGTTGAGCTGCCGACAGGTGGCAGGATGGCTCAGCGGGTGAAAGCACTTGCTCCTAACAGCAAGGTTGCTGGTTTGACTCCCGTATGGGATGATGGACTATGCCCCCAGCAACTGAGATTGAACTCGCCGCTTTGAGCTGAGTGGCCATGAGCTGCCGACGGCGTCTGGATGGTGACTGGACTTGGGAGTTGAGCTAGCTGCACCCTCCACAACTAAGATCAAAGGACAACAACTTGGTTGTTCCCCTTCCCCAAGAAAATCTTTAAAAATAAAAAAATAAAAAGTCACCTCCACACGGACCCAATCACAGACCCCATCACTCTTAACTGACTTTTGCACCAAATTTCTTGAAAGAGTTGTCTAAACTCGCTGTATCCTCTTCCCCTCTCAAGTTTTGTTTTGGTCAGAAAGAGTAAATTTATGTTCTAAGAGTCACCTTCATACCAATATCTAGGACCCTGGGTCCCTCGTTTTAGACACTGTCGATTCCCTCCTGCGGGCAAGACTGAAATTAGAGAGTAACTCTTTGCTTACACCTGTCGTTTCCTGCCAACATATAATGTAGAGTGATATGCTTTCACTCTTAGTTAATAAGACAATCAATGAGCTTATTCTATTCTGCATGCCTTCTTATCTTATGTTTTCACTGTACTGTCTCCCATATATTAATAAAATGTACATACTATTGGTTGCCTTTGTTTTTGTTGGTCTTATTTCCACAGGTAAATATGTTCAATGCTCCCACCAGACCTTCTGCCAAAGCCTCTCCAATCATTTCTTGGTTGTCTGAAGGTTGTTCTCTATTAGATTCCTCAAAAGCTGGTAGATTCCCTGAATTCCCGTATGTTCCTTACTGTTTGTGGTCTTCAGACCTGGATAGAAAATCCTTGGGTCATAGTTTTTTTCCTTTTATTGTAAAACATTACTCGATTTGTATAAAATGTTGCTACCAAAAAGTCTGATGCCTCTGATTTTTGTTCCTCCAATGATTGGGTCTTTTTTGGCGGATTGCCCAAAGGAATGTTTTAATTTAAAGTCCAGTAGTTTTATCAGATGCTCTCTTAGTATACTGACTATTCTGTACTGATTTTCCCAGCCATGTAACACATCCTTCCACCAGGCAAGGTCAAGCCTTCTTTCATATTCAGGAAATTTTTAATTATAGTTTCTATTATTTGTTATTCCATGGCTTTGATTTTCATTTTTTGGGTTATGTAGTAGTTGGATCTTCTTTATCTGACTTCTTTATCACTTCTCTTGACTATTTTCACTGTCTTTTTTTGTTTGACTCTCTTCCTACCCCCACTACCCCCAAGTTGTCCTTATCTCTGAATGAACTTTCCATGTTGTCTATTCATTCTTGTGTTCTTGCTTGTATAATTTTCACCTCTGAAATATTTCCGTACTTCTTTCTAATTCTTTCCTGAGTCCTGTCAACTCTCTCTTCACAATATTCTATTGACTAGTCACTTTATTTCTGAGCTTTTAAAACATTTTTTATTTATACCATTTCTTTAGTAGTTTGTCATTTTTCTAATTTTTTTTTTAAAGATTTTTTTTTTAATTGGGGAATTAGGGGAAGGGGAACAGACAAGNGGTCGGCCCTGGCCCGAGGCGTTGTGAAGGCACAGAACCACAGGCTGGCAGACCACCGACGCCTGGGTCTCCTTGGCGATGGAGCCATGCTCCTGGCTTACCCCTTTGGCCCCCAGATCCTCCATGGGCGTGTTTCCCTGGAAAAGTTTGAGCAGGCCCTGGTAAGCGGTGGGCGCCCCATGCGGGCTGGAGGTCGGGCTGGCGGGCTGCCCCAATTCCTCCTGAGGAGCTGGTGAGGCCTGGAAAGGACAACATGGGAGGGGCAACCCTTGAGCCCATGGGGCTCCCACGTGCACTCAGTCACTGCCACAGGGGGGGTCAGGGGTGGGCCCCCAGTCTGGCTGAGCAGGAGGCCTCCCTGGCCAGCCAGACACCTACGCTGTCCCCCTTCACCAAGCATCCCCATGCTGGCCAGCCTGCTGTGGGGACTGGTTCTGGGGCCCACCCCGTCAGGCTCTCTTAGTAAGGTCGGGGCCAGAAGAGAAGACACGCTGAGAAGCCGGCTCCTGCATCCCCAGGTCCTGGCTGCAGCTCCCAGGGACACCATCTCTGCTCCAGCCTCTGGAGTGCAATCAGGCTGACCCTGTAGGCACAGCTGCTGATGGCATCTGTTCTGATCGTCCCTGAGACCTGGCCACAGTGGTCGGCTCAGGGTGGGAAAGAGAACTGGGGACCCCATGGAGCCTGAGCACCAAGCAGCACAGAGGAAGGGCAGCAGACGCCGGGGACCTTCCTGGTCACTCAGCACAGGCCCAAGTCCGACAACTCGCCCCACCCTTTTCAGACGACAGGGTCCTAACTGTGTTGGTAGCCCCTCCTGCGGGTGCCGGGGGAGGGCTGGCGCCCTCTCTCCCAGACCCTCTGTGGGCTCCTGAGGTTCCCACTTCTGCTGGCTGGCACATGTGCCTCTCTGCTTTGGACACTTGTGCCGGCTTCAGATCGGGTTCTCAACCGTCTGCTGGGGCTTCAGGGGCAAAGATAGAGATGCAGACCTGGAACTGGATGTGGGGAGTGGTGCCTGCCTGTGGACCATCTCTGTTGCAGGCACCTCCCCCACAGGGTCTAACCTGCATCAGGGGCGCCTGGGAGTCTGCTCTCCCGCTGAACAGACAGGTGGCTGAGGGCAAGAGAAACGGACGCTGCAGTGGTTCTGGGAATATATGGGGCGGGGGGAGGCAACATGGGGCTGGCAGAAGGAAAGGGGGGCATCAGGGACAAAGGTCTATAAGGAAGCCCTGACCTTCAGGGTTCTTCCCTGGCTTTCTGGAACCCCTGCCTCTGGCCCTCACCCGGCCAGCAGGGCAAGTAGGTAAGTCCCTAGCCTGACCCTCATCTCCTCAGGAAAGCGCTGGCATCTGAGCCCCTTCAGGCACAGTGTGGGTGACGCCCGCCCTCTGCCCTCTGCTTGTCAGACTGTGTTCTGCCTGCAGGCACCTGACTTCCAGGTGAGATCACCACTGTGGGCAACAGCCTGTGCAGGGAGCTTGTTCCCTGGCCTGGGGGTCGGGGCTTCTCTCCTCAACTCCCTCCCTGACCATAGGCAGGAACAACACTGCTCTTGGGTGGACACTGGTCATTGGCTCCCCGGAAGCTACTTCTCCTTCTGCCAGGAGCAGTTCCCCATTTTCATGTGGGAGCACATCTCTCTCCACTCTTGGCCTATGCTTTGTAAGTTCTGCTGAGGCCTACGGTGATGGCCCTGAACTAATTAATTCGCATTTCCCAGCTCCAGCCTCAGGCAGCTCAGGGTACTGTGTCACCCAGTCGCCACCAAGAAAATGCAGCGGTGACCCTACAGGAAATGTCAGGATGAGCCAAGGAGGGTGGAGGGGAGGGGGTGCTTCCGCCATCCTGGCACCACACAGGGTCCAGGGAGGACGCTCTGCAGGCAGCAGGCCACGTCCAGTGGGCAGAGGCTGGCTTTGACGACGGGGCCACTGCATGGACTTCAAGCTCTCCCATGAGCTCCAGGGCTGGTGTCTGCCCTGGCGCCCTCCCCCAGTGGCAGGGCAGTGCTGGGCCCCTCCCACAGCTTTCCACCCTCTCTGTGTTCTGGCACGAGAACGGGCTCCATGATTGTGATGTTAAACCCATCAAACTCTACTCTCTCAGTATGTACATAGACAGTATGTCTATTTTATTTTAGTAGAGCGGTTTTTAATTAAAAAGGAGAAAAAAGAGAACTCTGCTAGGTTCACATCCACAGTCCACCTCTCTACCCCTGGCTGGTGTTTTGAAATACCTTTTCATGATAAACTGCTAGAATCCAGGGGGCAAGACCCCAGTCCAGACCGAGAGCGCCCTGATGCAGAGTCTGCTTCCTGCCCGAGGTGCCCCAAAGGGACCAGGCCACAAATGGACCTGTAGGCTATGGACCGATTGACAAGGCTGAGGCCTCAGCAACCACTGTCCTGCGTGACACACAGTGTCTGGTGCTATGGTGAGCTCATAGGCCGAGCCGCTTACGAGTCCTGCCTTCCCCAGGCCAGGCCCTCTCCCCTTCCTCTGGGTAACCATCTCACACATTCCCAATTGCCTCC